TCTCTCTGTGTCCGCACTGATCTCAACAAGGGTTGTGACCACGCCACTCCTCTGCTGAAAAACTCTCAAGGGCCACCTGTGGTCTCGAAAGATCTGCTCCTTAGCCTGGCAAATAAATTCATCTACAATCTGACGCCATCTACCTTCTCTGTCTCCATCCCTTGACACTCTCTACTAACCACAGAGAACAATAATGGTAACAACAGCAGCAACAACACACAACAGCTGACACACAGCACTGATGTGTCCCAGGCAGTGTCCTAAGAACTTTACATATATTCGCTCATGTAATTCTTAGTAGAAAAACATGGCAAGCCTTGGACTTCCCGGAATGGACCATATTCTTGCCTTCAGATCTTCACCTTCAGTTTTCTTGTTCTGGCATCCAGCCATCCCTCCAGCCATGTGATAGGTATTTACGGACCATCAGCTTATGCCAGGCCCTGAACTAAGTGCCTGGGATCCCAGTATGAGTAAGATGTGTACCTCTCCTTAATAGGTACAGTCTAGCGTGGGAGACAGAAACATGAAGAGTCAAGGTTAAGTGCAAAGTGATAGAGAGGATGGGGGCAGAGAATGAGCCCTAATCCAGACTGGGGGTGCCAATCTGGCCCACTGCTGCTTTACCCCATCCCGGAAGCCTTCCCGACTTTGCCAAGCTGGGTGAGGCTCCTCTTCTGTGCCCCTACAGTCCCTTCTCCTCCTGTACCTCAAACTGCCCACCGTGTATGGGAAGTGTCTGTGTGGCTGCCTCCTCCTGAGCCAGAGAAGGCAGAGGACAGTCTGACTCACCACTGCCATAGCACCTGAGGCAGCTGGACACGGGTCCTTATGATGTGCTGAACAGAAGTGCTTGCAGGATAAAGAGCCACAAAGAGGGGCATCCTCCACTTGCGCTGTTCCCTGGTGCTCTCCCCATGGTCAGGCCTGACCTGATTTCCTTTACTGAGCCCGGCTCAGGCCCCTCAACCCGGAGGGCACCCCACAGGGATCAGGCCCCGTGGGTAAGGGTGGGGCTGCTGCTTTCGTGAACTAGTCCAGGAGCAGCCTGGCTAGCAAAGGCCACACCAGAATGGGGGCCCAATGTACCCCCAGACAGATTGGAAGCATCTGGCCTGGGCTCCTGAGGAAGAAGCAGTATCCTGGGCAGCTCTAGTCTTGGGGGTAAGAGGGAGGAGGCCCCACAGCAGCCCTCAGGATCCCCTGGTGGTTGGGGTGGAGGTGGGGTGTCTCTGACCATTCCTTTGGTTCCTGAGCCCTTTTTGCAGCCTCTGGGCTATGGGATCCGTGGACGCTGTGATGAAGGGCGTCAGGGATATGTGACGCTAGAGTGGTCTCTAGGGGTATTTGCAGAATATTCCAAGTCTGGTGACAGCTCAGGCTGGCCCCTTGGACTCTCATTGGGGTAACACAGCTCTTTCTGCCCAGAGCTCTGGAGTAGCAATCACGGGCCCTCCTAGAGGGGCTGTGAATCGTGGGGCAAGGACCTGGAAGGACTCTCCCAGGCAGAGTGGTTGGGAAGCTCTGGCCCCTACCCTCTGCTCCTTGCCTCGAAGCCCATCTTGGCTCCTGGTGCCTCTGTAGGGGTGGGGGCTGGGGGCAGGGAGCCTTGGGGGCTGATGCTAACAGCTTTGGACAGGGTGGGAATTTCCATTCCTATCTAGGGAGCCATCAACGCCGTGTGCCCTGACCTGGGCCTTTGGCCTCCAAAGGGCAGTGGGAAGGCCGGCCCCAGGGCCAATCCCTGGCCATTAATCCCTCCTGCCAGCCTGAATATCCACCCAGCGTGGTCAGACAAAGGACTGCCCAGCCCAGCCACTGTGTTCCTCCCGCCCCAGGGGCTCCACTCAGACGCTGGGCCGCCTGGAATCCAGGCCCATGAGAAAGGGGCCGCCTTCACTGGCCATCTTATGCCCGGATGCTCAGCCGCATCCCGTCCGGCCCAGGGCCTGTGAAAAGAGGGCCCAGCCACGCTGAAAACACGGATTAGCCCTTGGGCCACCCCCTGACACCGGCCTGCTCGGCTCCGGGAAGCAGGCCCAATGGAGGGGGCCGGGCAGGCACAGAGAACTGGAAAAGTCTGGGTTCTCACCCCTTTGGCCCCGTTCCCTGCCCCCACCCTCCCCAGGATTAGCGTAGCCAAGTGCACATTCAGTATCATTTAGTGAACATGTACTATGTTCCAGGCTCTACACATGGATTGGAAAATTGAAAGTAAAGAAAATTGCTGTCTTCCATGGGAGGTAATAAAAGCCACTCTCCATAACCACCTTCTGCCTTCTGACGTGAGCATACACACACGAACCATATCTGTAGGTGTGAGACAGAGGCTGTGGTGGGGTTTTCAGGGCAGCCTTAGGCTCCAAGGGAAGGTGGGGAAGATGGTGGCTCTGATCTGGGCCTGAGTTCAGCTGCAGGGTTATGCTGCACCTGAGTGAAAATATGCGGGCTCTGAGATCACTTCTCTGGCTCTGACTCCTTCCTCCCCTTCCTGGTTTAATACTGGAAATGCCAACTGGGGAGTAGAAAGAAGAATCTCATGTTACCAAGTGCCATTGTGGGCTAAGCACCTCTCCTACATGATCTCATCTGAATCTCATGACAATGCTGACAAGGTTCATTTGGCAGGTGAGGAAACTGAGGCTCAAACAAGCACTGGCTCCAGGTGGCTCCTCTCGCCCAGCTAGATTCCCTGCGGCTGTAGTTGCTTGTCTTGTCTTACGTGAGCTGTTTGTTGTGCCTGTACCATCTTGTGTTCTGTAAGGCCTGGGCTCGGGCCATAGGGTGCAGTTCGGAGAGGGTACTGAGGGGGAAACTGTGCACATAAACCAGGCTGGCTCTTCATGGTTGTAGGGTTGGGGGGTCGTCTCCAGATCTCTGAGTGCCACCTTCTCCTTCCCTCTCTGCTTCTACAGCCCTCTCTGCCCACCTGTCTCATAGCTGTCATTGTCTGTGTGTCCACCTCGCCACCAGATCGAGAGCCTCTTTCTGTCTTCCCTGAGCACTGGCAGAGGGCCTGGCACAGAAGTGCTCAGTGAGTGATGTGAGCTAAACTGTGGCCAGGAGACCTCAAGGTGGGGTGGGTTTGTTGTCCACATGGAACTGACAGCACTTGCAGATGGTGGAGTTGTGAGGAGTGATGGGGGAAGGAGGAGCCCAAGATGGTGTTCATTATTTCTGCTCCCGGGGGATGAGGGGGCAGGAGGGCTGAGATCTGGAGGGCAGAAAGGGGAGCAGGATGGGTTGGGGTGCACTGGGTTGAGGCTGATGTCCAGTGGACACTGGAAATGCTGACCTGGAGGTCAGGAGAGAGGCTAGGCATCAACTCTGCAGCGAACATTGGGAGAGCCAGAAGAACTCCAGAGGAAGTCATTTCTACACTCCCAGCTTTAACATACGGTGTTTGTGGACGAGCCCTGATGCTGGAGTTGTGGGCTCTGGAGTTGATTCCAGCCCTGCCACTTACTAGCTGGGTGAAGTTAGGTAGGCCCCTTAACCTCTCAGAGCCCCAGTTTCCTTATCTGCAAAGCAGAGATCATGGAACAGCACTGACCTCACGAGGTGTTTGCCCTGAACTGAGATAATGCATGTGACTTGTGTGCCACAGACAAAGGCTCAGGAATGGTGGCTGTCACACTATCAGCTGAGACTGGAGCTGGGAGAGTGGGGCCCTCCAGCTTCAAGTTTGGATTTGGAAGCCCTAGACCACAGGCCTGTAGTTGCTAGCTCTGGTCATCTCCACCCCAGGGGCCCAGGACTAGGATCAGGCAACTGGGGCCCCCAATTTAAGGAGGCCCTGGCTCTCAAGTGCCGACCCTGCACTTACAGCACCTTGAAACTGAGTGCCCCCCCTTTTAAAAAATTTTTAATGTTTATTTATTTTTGAGAGAGATAGAGCATGAGTAGGGGAGGGGCAGAGAGAGAGGGAGACACAGATTCCAAAGCAGGCTCCAGGCTCTGAGCTGTCAGTACAGAGCCTGATGTGGGGCTCAAACCCATGAACTGTGAGATCATGACCTGAGTTGAAGTCGGATGCTTAACTGACTGAGCCACCCAGGTGCCCTGAAACTCAGTGCCCCCTTAAATTTAAGCCTTGGGCATTTCACTTACCTCACTTACCCCCAGCCCTGTTCCCTTGATCTCACCTCTCCCCCAGGACAAGCCTCTGAAAGGCCAGGCTTCTGCACTTTTTGGTTCCCTTCAAGCCAGGGCTGGCTGTCCTGTCACTTTGGAGAGATTTCTTGAAACTAGGCTGAGGGTGACATTACTTCTGGATGGTGGTGGTAGGTGGTATTTCCCAGAGTGAGTTTTTAATAAAAACCACTAAGATACCCCTCTCCACACACACACACCCTCAGGGAGATGTGAGTTTGGCATTTCTGGGCTAGTAAGCACTTTTCTCAGACCTCCAGTCTGTGGAAGCACTTAGGGAGTCTCTCTCTGGCCCAGCAACTGGTCCTTGGAACTTTGGGCTCTGTTGGCCTGTGTTGGTTGTGTTTTGTGCTTCTTCCCAGTGTGCATGCTGTGGGGGAGGGGGGGAAGGGGGAGGAGGGAGAGGGGAGAGGGGGGAGGAAGAAAAGGAGCTCTTGCTCTAGAACAGAAGGAGCACCGAGAAGAAGAGAAGAGGCAGCCAGAAAGGCAACTCTATGTTATGGACTTTCTGGGGGCCCTTGATTTAAAGCAGCCAATCCTCTGGTCCCCAAATGTGCTAGTTGGACCACTTTTCAGGATTTTGTTTTTTCAAAGGATGCTCACAAATGGCTTGGACAGGACAGGGTTGTGCAGGAGGTGTAGAGAGAGGAGATGGTGACCCTGGAACCACCCAACACGGTCCTCCCACACAAAGCTGGTCTTCTCGCTCTGCCATTGCCCCCACCCTACCATTTTAACGTCCAAGACCAGCATGGTGTCAGGACACTGAAGGCTGGCAAGGTGGTCCTGGGTGGCTCTCATTTCGGCCCCAGCTGGGGTAGGAAGGACCTAGAGGAGGCTAGGGGAGAATGATGAAGAGGCAGGACCAGGAGGAGCAGAATAGGGAAGGGGCCCCAAAGAGCACTGAAGGGATGGATTGGTGATTAGCATGGGCCCAAAGAGGAGGGGGTTGAGGGAGAGGCAGAAAGGGGGACGGGGCCAGGACCAGGACCGCACTGACCCAATGGACGTGAGGAAGGGATGAAGCTGGGTCTGGAAGGACTGACCCAAAGAGACAAGACCAAGGGAAGAGCGACATGTAGGTGGCGGGAGGGAAGAGGGGGGCCGTGAGCCTATTAAGGGGATTGGGGCAGCAAATCAGGGAGGAGGCGCTGGCCGGCGGCAGGGAATATCCGAGCCCTCTCCCCTGCCTGGGGGGTGGACGGGGGGAGGGGAAGGGGAGGGGGGCAGCGTCCATATAAGGCGGGTCGGCGGCCCCTGCTCTCTCCGAGCAGCGCGGGCAGGGGCGGCCGCATCCCCGTGACCGGGCGCAGCGACATGGAGCCGCCCGCCGCGTTCTCCGGCTTCCCGGCCCTGCCCTCGGTCGCGCCGTCGGGGCCGCCGCCGTCGCCGCTCGCCGCGGCCGAGCCGGGGCCGGAGCCCGAGGAGGCGGCCGCGGGCCGCGGGGAGCCGGAGCCCGCCCCCGCGCCCGGCCCGGGGCGGCGGCGGCGGCGGCCCCTGCAGCGCGGGAAGCCGCCCTACTCGTACATCGCGCTCATCGCCATGGCGCTGGCGCACGCCCCGGGCCGCCGCCTCACGCTGGCCGCCATCTACCGCTTCATCACCGAGCGCTTCGCCTTCTACCGCGACAGCCCGCGCAAGTGGCAGAACAGCATCCGCCACAACCTGACGCTCAACGACTGTTTCGTCAAGGTGCCGCGTGAGCCGGGCAACCCGGGCAAGGGCAACTACTGGACGCTCGACCCCGCGGCCGCCGACATGTTCGACAACGGCAGCTTCCTGCGGCGCCGCAAGCGCTTCAAGCGCGCCGAGCTGCCCGCGCTGCCCGCCGCCGGCCCGCCGCCGTTCCCCTACGCGCCCTACGCGCCCGCGCCCGGGCCCGCGCTGCTCGCGCCGCCGCCCCCCGCCGCGCCCGGGCCCGCGCCGCCCGCGCGCCTCTTCAGCGTCGACAGCCTGGTGAGCCTGCAGCCCGAGCTGGCGGGGCTGGGCGCCCCCGAGCCGCCCTGCTGCGCCGCGCCCGACGCCGGCGCCGCCTTCCCGCCCTGCCCGGCCGCCGCCTCGCCGCCGCTCTACCCGCCCGCCGCCGAGCGCCTGGGGCTGCCCGCGCCGCGCCCCGGCCCCGGCCCGCTCCCCGCCGAGCCCCTGCTGGCCCTGGCCGGGCCCGCCGCCGCGCTCGGCCCGCTCGGCCCCGGGGAGGCCTACCTGAGGCAGCCGGGCTACGCGCCCGGCCTCGAGCGCTACCTGTGAGCCTCCGCGGCGGCACGCGCGCCCCGTCTCTGCCCCGCGCGGCTCCGAGAGCGCCTCGGGGACGGAGCGCGCCTGCGACACCTGCCGCCGCCTAGCCCGCGAACGCTCCCTCCCGCCCGTGAGCCCCCTCGGGCCCCCCCCCCCCCCCCCCCCCCCTCGACCCATCCTCCCCAAGGACGGGACGCGCGCCGGCCCGCGGGGCGCGGACCGGCCCCCCCCCCCCCCCCCCCGGCGCTGGATCGGGTTCCAAGTCCCAGAGCGGGAGCGCCACCAGCGAGGGAGCCCCGAGCCTGAGCCTTCGGAAGCCTGACCTTCGCTGTCAAGCCGCCTCCTCGACTGGCTGCTAACTTCTTCCGCCTTCCCTCGAGTTTTCCCAACACATTAGAGGTCAGACTCCTGGGTTCATGACTCCATTGCTGTCTTGCCTCCGTCTCCCCACAAGTTTGCCCCCACCCCCACTTACCTGTCTGTCTGCATTTTTTTTTTTTTTTTAAACTGGGACAGAGAGCCCCTTCCACGACACCTGTCTGTTTCAGTCCTGGAGATTTCTGAACAAGCCTTGCCAGGGGCTCTTGACTGAAAGGGGTGTTAGTGGGCTGCCCCACCATCTGGAAAACGTAGGACTTACTGGGTTATTTTTTTAATTAAAGTTGGTTTGATTAAAAAGAAAGAAGAAAACTTCTTCTGGGCTCGGTGTGCTGGCTGGTGACTTGGGAGAGTGGTCTGGGGAGACAGGGGTCAGCTTCGTTCAGGGTCTTGGGTTGCCCCGGGGTGAGCACCTTGTCCGTTATCAGGCAAAAGTTCACGAAATAGGATTAGGATGTGATTAGGCCATAGCTGTGCACATAGTGGGGCTAGTAAAAGGCCACCACCTGCCACATCCCAGATGAGATGGGGTGTGCGCTTGACTGTGTTTGGTGGTTTTGTCTGCTGTGTGAGATTACTCCCAGCTCCTGTGGATGAGGGAGCATTGGCTACTTAGCTATCAAAGACTTCTAGAATGTGCCAAGCACTGTTTAGGCACTGGAAATACATCATTAAGCAGATGGGCAAGTTCCCTGCCTTATGGAGGTTATGGATCTGTGGGGGAGAGACATTACCTATTAGTCCTCAGAGAAACGAGATACCTTCTCTAGAGCCTTGCTCTCAAACTATGGTCCACGGATCTTCAATTTTAGTATATGTGCTGCCGAAGCGAGCACGGTCCAGGGACCTTCGACATCACTCAGGAGCTTGTTAGAAGTGCAGAAGCTCAGGCTCCACCTCAGACCCACCGAGTCATCAGATTCTGCATTTTAACTAAACTGCCAGGTGATTAGTATGCACAGTATTCTGAAGGAAAGGCTCAGAATCAAGGCTGGGGGCTTGATTTAAAAGGCTAACGCTCCCTACTCTAAGGAGGGGGATCATGAGCCGCACGTCCCCCCACCAAACTTCTGGAGCCGGACTCTGCGTCATCATCTATACCTCCTGTTCTACCTACCCTGCTAGATGTGAACTGGGGCAGCGGCCACCTGCGCTGGTTACCGACTGTCCCCAGCACCACGGACAGGGCAGCTCAGAGGAGAAACTCTGAAGCTGCAGTTTGAGGGAGTTGGCCTTTGAGCCTGTCCTGCTCCCTGGTGCGGACCCAAATGCTAACCATCAGGCTTTTCCAAGCTCCCCTGCCCCAGGACTGCCAGTCTAGTGGGACCTGGATGGGGGTCTGGGAAGGGGATCACGTGTCCAGTCCAGGGTGAATGTGATTTGCATGATGGATGCTGGGCGTGCCTGATGCACCTCTTCTTGACAAGGATTTAAAGCCCTGGAGGGTTTTTAAAGTGCTGGAGAGTGAGGGTGGAGACTCCGTGCAGCTCATAGGGGAGAAAGGGCGGGAAATCTGAGAAGGCAGGGAAGGCCCTCTTTGGTGATAAGACACTAGGTAAGGACTGTCTGGTATGAAATGCCCCACCTTCAGCTATTAACCCCTTTGAGCAAGAGTCAGACCTAAGTTGTCTGAAGCATAGGAGCCCTTCACTTCATGTTTGCTGACTGACTGAAGGACTCCCTAGTGTCTGTAGTTGTGCCTGACTTGATGAATAATGACTGGGCTGACAGTACCTTGGCACCTTCTTATCCATTCCTACTTGCAGTCCTTGCAGTGACCTGCAAAAGAGGCGGAAGTGGGAGCTATTTGTCACATGGGAAAATTGCCCCTCCCTGGAGCCCAGCAGGTAGCAAAGATCCAGCCGGTCTGTTCTCTAAGGAGCAGAGCTCCACAAACATAAAAATATAAACTTTCTTGTGTTTCAAATCATGTTACAGCCCCTCCTCCTGCCTCAGAGCACTCAATAAAATCTTTCCAAATCCAAGACCTTTCCAGGGAAGGGGAGAACCCTTCTCAGTCTGTGGAGAGCTCTGATTTCGATTCTTGCCACCGGCCTGCAGTTCTCTGTCTTGGAACCCTGGGATCTTGGAACTCTGAGGACAATTGGGAAATGTCTGTACAGGAATACTAGAAAGGTTACTGCTAAACTGGAAAATCAGAGGGATTTGTTTTTAATGCCTCTTTAATTTTCCTTTATTCAACAGTGCCGAAGGCCTGCTATGTGCCGGGCCCTGTGTTGGGCTCTGAGGCCAGAACAGAATCAGATTTGAGACTGCTTATGCCCTCACAGAATACGCTAAATGTCATAGATGCCCTAAGTATTTTGACACTTTGGTAGATGTTGAACAAACAAAAACAAAAGCCCTAATTCAACTCTTGCCTTTAAAAGCACCAATCACTTATCTAGAAGTAAGATTACGTTTGGAGAAAATAATCTGAAGAGAGCCTTTAGGAACCTTAAGTAAATACTCCCCCTTTCATTCTTGTAGAAAACTAGAAGTCACCATTAATCTGAAGACACAGTTTTGAGACTTAATTTTTGTTTTTATTAAACTGAAACAAGCATATAATCTAACAAGTCAAACCGCAAAGGCCTGGGAGAGCGGCTTGCCTACTCTCAGGATCCCTGTTTTGTTCCCTAGAAGCATCTACTTTGAATTCCTATTTGTCTCTTTTGGAATATACTTCCACATTTCTGTTTTCTTCAAACAGTAATGATTAACTTCCCATTACAATAATTGCCTACCTCTAAAATCGTTATTTCTTTCCATCCCTGCCCAAACCATCAGCTTTTAGCATTTACATTTTATTACTATATATTGTTTTTCAGATAAGCTGGTAGTGCACCATGACTACAGTTTTTTTGTTTTGTTTTGTTTTGTTTTTTGGTGCAACTTCTAACTTTTCCTGGAGTCAATGCCTTATTTTTTTCACTTGCCTAGCTTTTTTTGTCCCTATGGCTGAATCTTCCTGTATCTTCCAAAGTCAGTGGGGTATGCTTTTTCACAAGGTCTCACTTATCAGGAAATCTGTCATTGCTTTTGCTGGTTGTATTCTTCTTTTCCTGGGAGCATTTCTCCTAGAATTCTGTCTTCTAGACCCAGTCTGAGCTGATTGCTCTCCATGCCTGCTGCACAGATATGGACCTGAAACTTCCCATCAGTGTAATCCTTGGGATTCCTTGGAATCCCTCCATTTCTATCCGGGGCTGACTTCTCTGCTTTCTGGATTCCACATCTTTTTTCTTGGCTTATTTCTTTGTTTCAGTTGAGGTAAATTGTCAAGGAAATTTTGCACATCTGAAATTAAGATAATTATTTTAGTATGGGAAGCTAACTGTGAACTTTGACAATGAAAAGGTTGGGTCAAAGCTCTATCTGTGCAGACTTTTATTTGGGGGGGAGTTGAGGAAGATTGGAAAGGGAAATTGTTTCATGGGTTCAGCATGCACTATGAATGGGGAAGCTGGGAAGGTGGCTCAATGCTATGGAAATTAGGGGTGCCTGTTTTGGCAGGAAGATATGGCAGGGGACAGTTCTGAGTTCCTATAGGAATATATAGGTGAGCTGAGGGGGCTGCTTCCTAACCTGGGGGACTTGGAACACTGGATGGATGGCTTTGGGCCCCAGATGGTGCTGAGCTGGTTAGAAGGTCTGTTGGACCCAGTTCAAGAAAGTGGCCAACATCACCCTGGAATGGTGAAAACTGGGTACTTAGGAAAATGACATCCTTGAAGGGACATAGGTAAGCAGATCAACAGAAAGCCTCCTTCGTGTGACTTTTAGGGCCATGGACTTCACTTGGGAAGGCAGAGGGAAAAATGCACAACATGGACAAGCCTCTACTGTCAGTGACTGGATTGATTTTTAAGCTCATGTGAAGAACCTCTTTGGGAGATCTGAAAGTATGAGGTTGGGGGAGGATTTGCAAGATACAGGAGGCTAAAGTGGTCTTCTTTTAAACAAAACATTTCTGTGGATCCCCAGTATTGACCTTAACTTTTTTTTAAAAGTTTATTTATTTATTTTGAGAGGGAGAGAAGGAGAGAGGGAGAGAGAGGGAGAGAGGGAGAGGGAGGGCATAAGCAAATGGGAGAGGGGCAGAGAGAGAGAGGGAGAGAGAGAGTCCCAAGCAGCCTTCCCTGCTCTCAGTGCAGAGTCCATCTTGGGGCTTGGTCCCACAAATTAGAAGATCATGACATGAGCTGAAATCAAGAGCCGGATGTTCAACTGACTGGGCCACCCAGGCACCTCGACCTTAACTTTTTATTATAATGTCATTTAGTATGTGCAGATATAAAATCCTTAGACTTGTATCTTGTATGCAACTATAAAACACAAATTGAATTCACAAATTGAATTCAAACAGAGCTACAAAATAGAAATTCATTTTCATAACATTAAGGAAATGTAAGAGAAGATATTGTTTTGCTGAAACTAAATAAATTACTTGCACCATAATCATGGCCTTGACTGCTCCATTACGGTCTTTTGGGTTTGGTGTGCCTTGAGCTACGATGACTAAATCCATCCGCCATCATCTTCTTTTGAATGAAATATAAGCATTCCTTCATATAGCAGGCCATGCCACCAGCTGGCCCAAACAGGATTTACTTATAAAGTCTATATTATTTTTTGCCTCATCTCAAGATTAAAGTAGTACTACTTGGGGTCCCTGGGTGGCTCAGTTGGTCAAGTGTCTGCTCAGGTCATGATCTCACAATGTGTGAGATCAAGCCCCGCATCAGGCTCCATGCTGACAGTGCAGAGCCTGCTTGGGATTCTCTCTCTCTCCCTCTCTCTCTCTGCACCTCCCCACTCATGCACACACACACACACACACACACACACACACTCTCTCTCTCTCTCTCTCAAAATAAGTAAACATTAAAAAAATAAAATAGTACTACTTGACAACAAATGCAAATGAACACTCTAAATATCAGGTCTCTGATATTTATATCAGGAGGTCATGTAAATGGTCAATTATATGCTTATATAAATGTGTTTATGTGAATGTGAGATGAAAACACACATTCAAAAATGGTCATAAATTCCTACATGTATAAGAATATGTTCTTGGGCCACATTTTGAATTAAGCCCTTGAAAATTAAAAATGCTTATCTAGGGGCACCTGTGTGGCTCAGTTGGTTGAGCATCCAACTTCAGCTCAGGTCATGATCTTGCACTTCATGAGTTCAAGCCCCATATTGGGCTCTGTGCTGACAGCTCAGGGCCTGGAGCCTGCTTTGGCTTCTGTGTTTCCCTCTCTCTCTTCCCCTCGCCCACTCATGCTCTGTTGCTCTTTCAAAAATAAATAAACGTTAAAAAAATGCTTATCTAAATAACTCTCAGGTTAGAGGAAAATTATATAAATTAATGAAGATGAAAACAGTACATATTAATCCATAGGATATAGTCAAACCTGTGCTCAGAGGAAATTTCATAGCCCTAAATATCGATTAGAGAAGATCTGGGGTAGGGTGTGGTGGGGAGACCAATGAAAAGGCTACTGCAGTATCCAGGCAGAGAATGATGGTAGCTTGGTGGAGGCAGCAGTGGCAATGGAGGGAAACAGGTATACAAAGGTATAGATAACGATCAACCATTTGGCTGAATCTTTTTATTCCACAGAGGTTACAAACGTTTCCATTTAATCGTAGCCTCATGCCAACCCTGAAAGCTCGGGGTGGTCATTTGACTGGTACACAACCTGGTCTGGCTTGACTGATTTAAGGAGTGACTAATCTCAACAAACCGATTAGTACAGAAGAAATGGAAAACACTGTCAGAAGCTGTTCCTCCATTGCTCCCACAGACAGCACCTAGACTAGCTGATTTTACCCATGAATTCTGTCAAACTATTAAGGAACCTATTTTCTATAAATTATTTAAATTTAAATTAAATTTAAAATTAAATTTAAATAATTATTTTAAAATTAATATATTTAATAAAATAAAACTTATTCTATATAAACCTAGTTTATATAAATTGTTCTAGAACACCGAAGAAACCGAAGTCATTCCAATTCTATTTAATTACATTGTCAAAGCCTGATAAAGAAGGGGTGAGAATGCAAAATATAGCCATTCTCGCATCTTAAAGCAGATGCAGAGTCCCTCAATGAAATATCAGCAAGTTGAATCTAGTAGTGTATTACAAAAAAATGCATGATCAAGCACAGTTTATTCCTGGAACACAGGGTGACATTATTAGAATTATCAGAGCCAACTTACAGGATATGAAATTGGGGCTCATAAAGGTTAAGTGACTCACCCGGGTCAAGCTGCAAAGTCACTGACTTAGAACTTGACTCTAGGTACACCTGACTCCAAAGTCATTCTCTGACTCTGAGGAAGAGGCAAGTGGAGGTGGAAACTTGGCTCAAAAGCCCCCCCAAATCCCTCCATTCATCCTGTTTTCTGCCCCGCCCCTCTACGGTCCTAATTTTGAAAGGTCCCTTCCAAGGCAAATGACGAGTTTTAGGCTCCTTTTTCTTTCTGTTTTCTACTTCCTTCCCTTCTGAGCTCCCTTCTCTCTGACTCCTTTCCCTGTACTCCAGTCCTCCCTCCCTCTCCCCTTATCAATTTGGTGGAGACAAGAGCGCCACCTATTGGCCACCTTTTATGTACCTGATTTGAGCAGGAAACCTGGGGAAGGAAGCCAGGATCCATCTGGATGCTATTTTGGGCTGGGAGGGGCTTCTGGTGGCTGAAAGTCACTTGCTCCAGTGGGGAACCCAGTTGCTTAGCGTAGAAGAGGAAATCTTGCTGCAGTTACCACCTCTCCTGGAAAGTGCTCCCAGGTCTCCCGTCCTCCTCCGTTCTTGGCAGCTCTTGGTAGCTGCCCCATTGTAGGGGGGCTTGGAATGGAGTTGTGATGGGCAGTCCCAGCTGCTAAGAGCTGATCTGCTCTGTGAGGGGGAAAAAGAGGAAAGTGTGCTGAGGTCTGGAAATCTGAGGTCTGGTCAAGCACTTAGGCACACCCTTTCTATTCTCTGTCCTTCACAGTGACTCTCAATGCTCTCTAAGTCCCATGATTGTGTTCTCCTCCCCAGCTGAGGACTCACATGAATCAGACACTGCCCCTGCTCAGAGGTGTCACATACAGGTGGGAGACAATATAGTGTGCAGTGTGCTGACAAGATGTGGGGGCTTGTAGGTCACCTTGGTCACTCACCAGTTAGAGCCTCTGCCTTGAGCTCAGCCTCAGTCTCTGAAAAAGGGAGAATGTGCCCTGCCCTCTCTGCCAGGGTGCGATGGGTTTTCTAACTGCTAAGGCCATTGTGATGGTGGGTGAGGATATTCTACCCTGTCTCCCTCATTGGGCAGCTTCACCAGGCTGGGCTCTGGGCTGAGATACTCCTTGTCTTGAGGCTGGGCTTGAGGTTTGGGCGGTGAAGGAAAAGTAGAGACAAGAGGGTTCCACCCTTGAGCATCAGACTGGCTCCCTAAATTGTGTAGGGGCTGGGGCTTGGCGGGCTTCACAAGGAAGTCTTCTGGAGGAGGTGAGCTCTGGTTTGGGGTCTTGAAGGAAAAGAGAAGGTCTGCTATTCCGGTTTCTATAAAACCCCCTTTCCTCCATCCTAATCCCTGTCTGGCCTGGCAGACTGAAAAAGTCTGACTACTTCCAAAGCAATTTAGGTGGGACCAAGACAGGAGGCAGAGACAGAGGGATGGGAAGAGAAGAGCAAAGGGTAAGGTAGAAAGTTTGGGGTCCTAGCGAACAGACTCACCTACTTCCCTACCTGATGGGTGACAGGCCAGCGCCCGCAGGCATCCACTAGATCTGGCTTCTGTGTTCCTGTCTTCAACATTAGCCACCAACTATATTTTCAGGTTGGGGCCCACAGAAAGTATTTAGCACATAGTTACAGTTTTTTTTACTCACGTGTTCTACACACTTAGCCTTATTCATTAGGATGACTCCATTGTTTGCTTTAAAGTATTTATTCAATTGTCAAATAGGCTATACATTTACTTGGCTTTTAAAATAATAAAAAAAAGTATAAAAAATAAGTATATAAAAAAGTATAAAATAATAAAAAAGTAATAAAAAAATAATATAAAATAATAAAAAAAAGCGAAAAGCCTCTTCCATTTTTGTTTGCCATTTATTTGCCCCAACAGATAATCAGTTATTAGTTTTTTATTCATTGTTCTAGATATTTTTGTTGTATATACAAACCAAAACAAATATACATTATTTTCTCCTTGGAAAAACAAAATTGGAAGCATAATGTTTACACTCTTAAGTATCTTGAATTTTTTTCACTCAATATCTTGGGCTCTTTCCAGATCAATAGATACAGAACTTCTGTATTCTATTTGACACACCATACTATTTCCTCATATAGAAGTGCCATTATTTGTCCCCCATCAATGGACATTTACATTGTTTCCAAGCTTTCAGCATTCCCAAACCAGCTGCAATGAGGCCTTGTACATATATCATGCGTGCGAGTGTACTTGCAGGAAAAAATTCTGGAAATGCATCTCCATGCAGTCCTTGTCAGGACACCGAGCTCCCTGTGGCCACACTGGCTCTTCTGGCAACTGTCCACTTTTATTTCTCAAAGGGACCCTTGGTGACCATGGTCAGAATTCCACTTTCTTAAACCTCACTGCCCTCTCCCCAGTGACCTTCCCAACAGAATCTCTCACTAGGGCCCTCACTACATGTTTTGGGGTCTGAATCTGGGAAGCCTGGGCACTTGTCACCTCCACCCTGGGGGATGGGGGTCTGTGTCCTGGCCATCAATCTGTCTAGAGTAATAGGCTCCTTTTTCCCTTCCAGTCCCCAAACCCTGGGCATGAGTGGCAGGTGTATGAAGCTCGCTCTTTGGACCTCCATTGATCAGGCCTCCCCCCCTCCTGCCAATGCTGCCATCTCCCTTCTCTGCCATCCCCCATCTCCACTTGTGATTCCCTTCTTCTCATCACAGGGCAATGTTCCTCTCTGGCCTTGGCTCTCCCATTTCATTGGGAGCGGCCCCAGCTTTGTGGGAGAAGTGGATGAGGGAGGAGCCGGCAGCAGGCCTCCTGTGAGAGGCATGCATGTGAGTCAGGGGGAGCCCTCAGCAGCCTGGGAGTGTCTGGGTTGGCCCAGACCTGTGATGTCAGTTCATGTAGCAGACGGCACTCTTCTGGCTGACCTAGGCCAGGAAGAGCAGGAGCCTGGGCAGGTCAAGGCCATGCAGAAGCAGGGTGATTATTATTGCTGTGGATGGCAGTCACTCACAGTTGGAACTGTACATAAGGCATGGCCTTTAAGAGCGCTGATTCTTGATCAAGACTGTTTAAAAAAGGGGATTCACTTCTTACATGTCAGATAAGGGAACAGAGGACCTGGGAGGGGCAGGGACATGTTTGAGATTATACAGGCAGGCAGTGCAGGGATGGGAGTAGATCTCAGCCCCCCACCCCAGGCTCCTCTGCTCCTCTTGTCACAAGAACATATCAGGGGGAGGTGCATTCTGCTAGAAGCCTGGAGCAAGCATCCTCAAAACTGTCAAGGTTGGAGAGGCCAGCAAGGATCCGCACGGAGGCATTCTGACCCATAGTTGGCTCTAGGTAGAGTACTAGGGGTCAGGAGTCCCTGTGGGTGGCATTCTAGGGACTTCTCCTGGTTTCTGTCTCCAACCCAGCTATCTGGATCGTCACAAATGAGGAAACTGGGGCTTTGGAAGGTTATTTGCAGGAGACAAGTATGTGGTGGGGGCATAGTTTGAACCCATCTCTAAGACTTGTAGTCTGTCTGTTGTGTCTCGATGCCTCTAAGATGCCTATCCACTGAAGGGCGCCTGGGTGGCTCAGTCTGATAAGTGTCTGACTCTTGATGTCAGCTCAGGTCATGATCTTATGGTTTGTGTGACCAGTGTTGGGCTCTGCACTAACAGCTCAAAGCCTGCTCTGGATCCTCTCTCTCCTCTCTCTCTGCTCTTCCCTGGCTCATGCTAGTGCTTGCGCTCTCTTTCTCTATCTCTCAAAATAAATAAATAAACTAAAAAAAATTCCTATCTAGTGATTACCCAGCCTCTGCTCACACATTTCCAGTGATGGGAGCTCACCACCATCAACGTAGCCTATCGCACCTCTGAGGGACAGCTCTATTGGAATGCTTTCCTTTCATGGCGTCATGGATATTGAGTCTCCTGACAACCTTCAGGCTCCCTTTTGCCTAGGTCTCTGTGCTCCAGGTCAACCCCTGGAGATTTGAAGATGAGGGCTGTGCCAACCCTGAGCCCTTTATTCTCCAGGCTAATGACCCTAGACTGGTCCTTTGTGTCTTTGGGCACCCATCCCCTCCTGCATTAATTAGGGTTAACTTCAGTTGTAACAGAATCCTCTCCACCCCCAAAGAAAATTCCACAAAGGTGGCTTAACCGATATTGAAATGTGTTTTCTTTTCACATAAGCCTGTGCAGGTGGTTCAGGGTGGTATAGCACCTCAAAGGTTTCAGGGACCCACAATTCTTCTCTCTTGTGACTCTGCTGTTGGTGAAGTTCAACTCAAACTAGCAGAACTTCATTTAACTTAGTTTAAGAAAAGGGAGAATATCTTTAGAATGTCTGGAAAGTCTAATAAGAGTTCTAATTTCACAAAGAGCAAGGGGATTCAGCACTGCTGTTAAGCTGTCTCTCTCTTTAGGCTGTTTCCCTCTGTGTACAGGCTTCAGTGTCAAACAGCATTGTCCATGTGACCTTCTGGTATGAAAGGAAATGTATCCCTCCTGAAATCCCAGAGTCCATATACTCCAGAGCCCCAGAATCGATATAGCCTGCAGTCCCAGAGTCCATTTATCAAATCTTGTCAAAGGAGAGATGGGCTCAGCTTAGAGCACTTACTCCTGCCTAGACCAGCCACTGGGCCTTGGATCATGCTGGGTTGCCTGTTTGCTCTTCGAGGTAAGTGTGAAGGACACAGAGATTGGACAGTCCCATCAGGACTATGTGGACTATGGGACAGGAAGCTTTACCCAGCAGATAGCTGGGACACCCGAAAACTGTAAATGTGCTCAGTGCATCATGGTAAGAGATGGAAGTTTGTCTTATAGGCAGTGGGGAGCCCCTGGAAGATTGTGGCAGGATTTGGCTGGTTCTAGTGGTCACAACCATTTTAAAAGAAGGAAACTGAGGCAGAGAACACAAGAGAGAAATCCAGTAAGTGCTGGGGCCAGGGACCATGGAAAAACTCTCTCACAGGGGGACATGGTCTCTCTTCAGTGGGGACTGATGGAGGAGAAAGTCTGTCTTCAGAGAAAACATATTTCCACTCAGGATGTCAGCTATCTTTCTGGGGAGTCCCGGACAAGAGGGAGAAATATGTCACACCATTCATTCATTCACCCGTTCAGTCCTGTATCCACATGTCTAACATTCACTGAATACCTACTATGTGTTGGGTTTTGTTCCTGGCAGGAGGCAGAGTGATTGAGAATGATAAGGAGCATTTAATGAGCTCTTACAAAGTTTCAGGTACTGAGCTGAGTGCTCTAGATGCATTATCTCATTTGATGCTCACAACAACTCGATGAGGTGGGTACAGTTATCGTCCCCACTTTGTAGAGGAGGAAGAATGAGGATGCACCACAGAGCGTTCTCAAGGAGCTCACAGTCTACAGAGGGCGACAGACTGGAAAACCAATCATGACAATGGAGGGAGTTAAGTGCTTTGGGGGCACACAGGCAGGAGCCCCTCAGAGCCTGGCCAGTGTGAGATGTTGTCAGGGGAAGCATTGCATAAAGCCTGACGTTTGAAATGGGCAGAGGGTTAGGAGGACTGGGCCAGGAAGGAGTGAGCGGAGTGCAAAGGTACAGAGGTGAGAAAGGGAGTGCAGTTGTGAGTGGAGTGCAGGGGTTACAGGGGAGGCTGGACAAGCAGGCAGGGGCCAGGCCACCTGGTAACCTGTGC